TCCACTTCCACGTGTCATGTGTTGGTCCTTTTGGGTCCCTTTTTGGAGCCTCGCTTTTTGCTCGCTTCGTGCTCGTTCCTCGAGCACTTCGTTGGGAGTTCCATTCCCGCTCTTGACTTTTCAAGTTGGAGCTTTTGGTCCAAACGTGTTACGCTCGTTTGGCTCTCGCTTCAGCCACTACCACGTGGCACCCTTTCCGGCTCCACTTTGGGGCCTAGGGATTTTGTGTCTCACACGTGGCCCTACGCGGGCCTCATGGGTACTCTCCCCGCCTTCCGCCTTTGGGTGCTCTAGCCATGGGCTTAGAGCGAGGTTCCGTTGAGCCACACCAGGTATCCAAGTAGGTAGTGCCACCCACACTTGGACTGGGAGCATCAGCCAGTCGATCTCCCGGGGGGTACTAGAGCCGACTCTTGAACACTTCACCAAGCTACCCCGCTTGTCGGTCCGTATTCACTCTAGTCTTGGACTTCCCAGTGGGCAGCTCATCACCCAACACTGGGTCCGGCCTTCCTGGGCCAAATTGGCCTTTCCCGGCCAAACTGGCTCCACTGCAGTCCTCCCCCTACTATACTTTTGAAGCTCACCAAACCCCCCAGGGTCTGGGAGACGAATGCTTTGGGCTTTCACCCTCTCAGACTCGAACTCGGACTCGGACTCAGACTCGGACTAGGGCTCGAGCTCGGGCTCGGTCTCGGGCTCGGCCTTGGTCTCGGCCTCGGCCTTGGTCTCGGTCTCGGTCCCGATCTCGGTCTCGGTCTCAGTCCCGGTTCCATCTCGGACTCTATCTCGGGTCCATCTCGGACTCCATCTCGGACTCCATCTCGGGTCCATCTCGGACTCCATCTCGGACTCCATCTCAGACTCCATCTCGGACTCCATCTCAGACTCCATCTCGGACTCCATCTCGGGTCCATCTCGGACTCCATCTCGGGTCCATCTCGGACTCCATCTCGGGTCCATCTCGGACTCCATCTCGAACTCCATCTCGAACTCCATCTTGGGTCCATCTCGGGTCCACCTCGAACTCCATCTCGGACTCCATCTCGGACTCCATCTCGGGTCCTTCTCGGACTCCACTTCGGACTCCACTTTGGACTCAACTTCGGCCTCCAACTCGGGTCCATCTCGGACTCCACTTCGGACCCCAACTCGGGTCCATTTCGGACACTTCCACGTGTCATGTGTTGGTCCTTTTTGGGTCCCTTTTTGGAGCCTTGCCTATGGCTCGCTTCGTGCTCATTCCTCGAGCGCTTCTTTGGGAGTTCCACTCCCGCTCTTGACTTTTCAAGTCGGAGCTTTAGGTCTAAATGTGTTACGCTCGTTTGGCTCTCGCTTCGGCCACTACCACGTGGCACCCTTCCGGCTCCACTTTGGGGCCTAGGGATTTTGTGTCTCACAATGGTGTTTGATGTTGCGAGGGTAATAAATAAGGCCCAAGGGACTAAGTCCCTAGCAAATGATGGATAGAAGGTGCTATCCAAATGTCCAAAGGTGGCGGAAACAGGAGAAGACTTTCTACTCGAATTGGACAAAGCCAAAAATGGAATTTTGGCAAGGCTAGTGATGGGTATGTAAAGGCCCGTAAGGAACAACGTAATCTCGTTGTGTGGGATTATAGGGTGAGCATACCTGGATTAAGGAACCATTCCCTAAGCTATCGGGTAGGTTCATCCCTAAGAATACTTGCTAAGGCATGATAGAAAGTGCAAAGCTATCCTCCGGGTTCGGAGGAGAATGACCGAAGGAAAGGTGTGAAGCCAAAAGCAAGAAGTAAGGGGATAGAACCAAACCATAAGAATCGAAGGGCATAACCAAGGTTGGTTATGCTAGCTGGGAGTGGAGAATCAAGTGGGGGCTCGAGGGTGTTGCCGCTAACAACCATGATACCATGGAGAGTCTAAAATATGGAATTGTCTATGTTAGACTATATGGTAATTGGAAAGCTTGCAAAAAGGGAGGCCTTAGCAAGCTAAGGGACAGAGTTCCTTCAAGGTTCCCAAAGATGATTCTAGGTAGCGTAGTACCTAGAAAGGCCAAGCGTAAATTGTTCAAGAAACGCGCGAAATCAGAGTGGCGCAGCAGAAGCGTGGTCTTGAAGCTTGCCATAAGGCAAGGCTATCAAGGTTAGGGAAGTAGTTCCCGAGTGTTCAAAGAGAGGGCTTTGAACGAAAGTCGATGACCAAAGGCTTTCACGCTTGTGCAGGAAGCATGTTACAGTGGTCGGAAGACTTGCCAAAGCGAGATTGGCAAGTCAGGGGAACAAATACCCTAGTTGAAAGTGATAACTTCAAAAAGGGTGGGCCATGGGGCCAAGCATGGAGGAGTCCATGCATGATCACAAACTTGTCAAGTGAGAGGACTTGGCAGTGTGGAGGAACTAGGTTCCTAAGCTGTGATCTATGGCGCGCTTTGAGTATAAGTTGGTGCACCGGCGTGGGGAGTCACGCCAGGCATCCTGGGTGATGCCGTCCGTAGATGCATATACGGAGGTTGGGTTCGAGTCCCGACCCTCTAGTGCTTGGGTTCGAGTCCCAACTCACTAGGGCGTGGTGATGGTTTGGAATATGAGGACACTCATTTTTTGGTGGTCATGGACTCTCAGTGTGGGGACTGGCTTGGGCACACCGCCAAGCGAGGGATGCCTCGGAGTCGTGATGTACGGTTAGATTGCTTAGTATGGCTCAGCATATCTAACTTGAACACTTTGGTGCAAGTGGCACCAAGGACATGGTGAATGAGATGGGGACACCCAGTCTCAGTTGCTATGGACCCTTGGCCGGAAGGGCTGGCTTGGGCGCACCGTCAAGTGTGGGGGATGCCCCCAGGGTCGTAGTTAACAAGTTAAAGGTCTGGAAGACCTAGTACTTATTGGCAAACCTGTTAAGGTGTCGAGGTGAGATCATTAGGTGATCTTGTGGCTAAATAAGGACAAGGTCCTTGTTTGGGCTAAGGAATAAGGTTCCTAGTTCAAAGTGTTGATTTGAACTATTGATGATGGTGTGGCTTGGTCAAGGTGACCAAGTGGGAAAAGCACCTTAGGGAAATGAGCTATGTCATTGTGATGGCATAATGTGTCCAAGGAAAGTAGTCTCTAAAGAGACCCAAGGGAAGGTCACAAAGTTGGGCCGTGGATAGAGCCCACAGCAGAAGATGCTAAAGAGACGTACTAGGGGTGAACATCCTCCAGACTTGGCAAAGAAGAGTCTTTGCTATGGAACCGAAACAATACCTCAAGGAGGGAGGTAGAGATTCGATGTTGCTTGGTGCAACAATCAACGGATAGGAGCAAAAGATGAGTGGCCAAGATAGGGCCGTGGAATCCCTTGGAAGGAATCCAAGTGACAAAGTTAGGCGAGGAACACTAATGTGTTGGACGCTAATAAATTGCAGGAAAGGAAGTGTGTTTCCAAGGATGGATTCCGAATTGCTTCGATTTGGCGAAAGTGGAAGCTCCAAGAGAGGGAGCGGTAAGATAACTAAATGATAGAAGAGATAGAAAACGAAATAGAAGAGAGGATGATGGTGCCCTCGAGTAGAGAACTTCCTAGGATGGGAAGTGGAGTTGCACAAAAGGTGCAAGGCAAGGTATTGGAGACACCTAGGAAATTGACTCCAAGAAGTCAAAATTCAAAGTTCCAAAGTGCAAAGGTTATATCGATGGGAATTAAGACCACTCGAGAATGAGTAGTGGGAATTGAGTTAGAGAAGATGTCTCTAACAGGTTTAGTGAGAATTGAACCAATAAAAGGGAGCAAACCACCCCAGGTGGTCGAATAAATCTCTATGTTGGAAAGACTATGCTCCTTAGAGGATGGGCAAGGCATAGTGAGCCTTTAGTGTCAAACCATTAACGAATATGGAGAAGGTATGGTGAGCCTTCAATGTCAAACTATTGACAAATATTGACTAGGTGCCAAGGATGAAAATGGTAACACATGCGGGTGCTACTTTATAAAATAATTTATCATTCGATGAGGACATCGAACTTTGTCTATGGGTGGTGGAGTTGTGAGACACAAAATCCCTAGACCCCCAAAGTGGAGCCGGAAGGGTGCCACGTGGTAGTGGCCAAAGCGAAAGCCAAACAAGTGTAACACGTTTGGGCCAAAAGCTCTGACTTGAAAGGCAAACCATCCGTGAGTGGTCATCTCAGATCCACTCCTTAGCATCCTTAGGATGCCCACCGACGAGGGGAATAGCCTTCCCCAATATCCCTCTGTCAATCCCCACTAAGTCCCTTTCTGCCCCTGACCGTGTTTGCCAACACTACCACTGGATCGAGACCCACAGGCCCGACCACTAAGTCCCACGGTCCTTTGGGACTTCCTCACCACACGACTGTGTCCTTGGTCACTACCCCAGAGGACTGCTCCTCTTCCTTACCACAGTCTGGGCCTTTGGGACAACATTTCGGAACACCGTGGCCTTACGCGAGCCACCTGGGTACTCTCCCCGCCTTCTGCCTTTAGGTGCTCTAGCCATGGGCTTAGAGCGAGGTTCCATTGGGCCACGACAGGTATCCAAGTAGGTAGTGCCACCCACACTTGGACTGGGAGCATCGGCCAGTCGATCTCCCGGGGGAACTAGAGCCGGCTCTTGAACACTTCACCAAGCTACCCCACTTGTCGGTCTATGTTCACTCTAGTCTTGGACTTCCCAGTGGGCAGCTCATCACCCAACACTGGGTCCGGCCTTCCTGGGCCAAACTGGCCTTTCCTGGCCAAACTGGCTCCACTGCAGTCCTCCCCCTACTATACTTTTGGAGCTCACCAAACCCCCCAGGGTCTGGGAGACGAACACTTTGGGCTTTCACCCTCTCAGACTCGAACTCGGACTCGAACTCGGACTCGGACTCGGACTCGGACTCGGACTCGGACTCGGACTCGGACTCGGACTCGGACTCGGACTCGGACTCGGACTCGGACTCGGACTCGGACTCGGACTCGGACTCGGACTCGGACTCGGACTCGGACTCGGGCTCGGGCTCGGGCTCGGGCTCGGGCTCGGGCTCGGGCTCGGTCTCGGCCTTGGCCCTTGTCTCGGTCTCAGTCCCGGTCTCCACCCTGCCGAAAGCGCAGCGGCGCCACTACAAGAACGCGTTCCACGCGCTGACGCGGATTGGCAAAGACGAGGGCGTGCTGGCGCTGTGGAAGGGAGCCGGACCCACGGTTGTGAGGGCCATGGCGCTCAACATGGGAATGCTGGCATCTTACGACCAGAGCGTCAAAGTGTTCAAGGCGTTCCACTTCTCCGAGATTCCCACAGTGATAGGTTGGTGCTCCAGCCAGCCAGCACCACCACCACCACCTTTTCTCTAACACCTGCTTTTGCTTCCGCAGGCGCGAGTGCAGTGTCGGGTTTCTTTGCTTCTGCATGCAGCCTACCCTTCGACTACGTTAAGACGCAAATACAAAAGATGCAGCTGGGGCCTGATGGCAAGTACCCCTTCTCGGGCTCTTTGGATTGCGCCGTCCAGACGTTCAAAAAGCACGGGCCTCTCAAGTTTTACACGGGCTTTGGAACGTATTGCGTGAGGATCGTGCCCCATGTCATGGTAGGCATATGCTATTTGTTCTCCCTCCACTCACCCGCTGGCGACCATTGCAGATGACATGGATATTCCTCAACCAGATACAAAAGTTAGAGACTCGCGTGGGCCTGTGATTCTTTTCTTTCGGACTCCATCTCGGACTCCGTCTCAGTCCATCTCGGACTCCATCTCGGGTCCATCTCGGACTCCATCTTGGGTCCATCTCGGACTCCATCTCGGACTCTGTCTCGGTCCATTTCGGACTCCATCTCGGACTCTACCTCGGACTCTAACTCGGGTCCTTCTCGGGCTCCACTTCGGACTCCAACTCGAGTCCATCTCAGGCACTTCCACGTGTCATGTGTTGGTCCTTTTGGGGTCCCTTTTTGGAGCCTCGCTTTTTGCTCGCTTCGTGCTCGTTCCTCGAGCACTTCGTTGGGAGTTCCACTCCCGCTCTTGACTTTTCAAGTCGGAGCTTTTGGTCCAAACGTGTTACGCTCGTTTGGCTCTCGCTTCGGCCACTACCACGTGGCGCCCTTCCGGCTCCACTTTGGGGCCTAGGGATTTTGTGTCTCACAACTCCACCACCCATAGACGAAGTTCAATGTCCTCATCGAACGATAAACCATCTTATAAAGTAACACCCGCATGTGTTACCATTTCCATCCTTGGCACCTAACTAATATTTGTCAATGGTTTGACATTGAAGGCTCACCATGCCTTCTCCATATTCATCAATGGTTTGACATTGAAGGCTCACCATGCCTTTTGCATATTCCTCAATGGTTTGACACCAAAGGCTCACTATGCCTTACCTATCCTCTAAGGAGGGTAGTCTCCCCAACTTAGAGACTGATTGGACCACATGTAGTGGTTCTCTCCTTTTATTGGTTTAGTTCTCGTTAAACCCCTTAGAGACCTTTCTCTAAGTCAATCCCACTACTCCTTCTCGAGTAGTCTCAATTTCCATCTATTGAACGTTTGCACCTTGGAACTTTTACTCTTTTGACTTTTGGAAGTCAATTTCCTAGGTGTCTCTAACACCTTGCATTGCACAGATTGTGCAACTCCACTTCCCCATCCTAGGAAGTTCATTACTTGAGGGCATCATCATCCTCTCTTCTATTTTGTGCCACCTTAGGCACTAAGTTCCATTTATCATACTTTGTGCTAAGGCTGTCCATGGCCCTATCATTTGGCTACTTTACCGCTCCCTCCCTTGGAGCTTCCACTTTCGCCAAATCGGAGCAATTCGGAATCCATCCTTGGAAACACACTTCCTTTCCCGCAATTTGTTAGCATCCAACACATTAGTGTTCCTCGCCTAACTTTGTCACTTGGATTCCTTCCAAGGGATTCCACGGCCCTATCTTGGCCACTCATCTTTTGCTCCTATCCGTTGATTGTTGCACTAAGCAACATCGAATCTCTACCTCCCTCCTTGAGGTATTTTTTTGATTCCATAGCAAAGGCTTTGCTTTGCCAAGACTAGGGTGTTCACCCCTAGTAAGTCTCTTTTAGCATCTTCTGCTGTGGGCTCTATCCACGGCCCAACTTTATGACCCTCCCATGGGTCTCTTTAGAGACTACTTTCCTTGGACACACCATGCCATCGCAATGACATAGCTCATTTCCCTAAGGTGCTTTTCCCACTTGGTCACCTTGACCAAGCCACACCATCATCAATAGTTCAAATCAACACTTTGAACTAGGAACCTTATTCTTTAACCCAACCAAGGACCTTGTCCTTATTTAGCCACAAGATCACCTAGTGATCTCACCTCGGCACCTTAACAGGTTTGCCAATAGGTACTAGGTCTTCTAGACCTTTAACTTGTTAACTACTTGTTAACTTGTTAACTTCCAGACCCCGGGGGCATCCCCCACACTTGGCGGTGCGCCCAAGCCAGCCCTTCCGGCCAAGGGTCTATAGCAACTGAGATTAGGTGTCCCCATCTCACTCACCACGTCCTTAGTGCCACTTGCACCAAAGCGTTCAAGTTAGATATGCCGAGCTTTCACTCTAAGCAATCTAACCGTGCGTCACGACTCCGAGGCATCCCTCGCTTGGCGGTGTGCCCAAACCAGTCTCCACACTGAGAGTCCATGACCACCGAAATATGAGTGTCCTCATATTCCAAACCATCACCACGCCCTAGTGATTTGGGACTCGAACCCAAGCACTAGAGGGTCGGGACTCGAACCCAACCTCCGTATATGCATCTATCACCCAGGATGCCTGGTGTGACTCCCCACGCCGGTGCACCAACTTATACTCAAAGCGCGCTATAAATCACAGCTTAGGAACCTAGTTCCTCCCCATTGCCAAATCCTCTCACTTGACAAGCCTGTGATCATGCATGGACTCCTCCATGCTTGGCCCCATGGCCCACCCTTTTTGAAGTTATCACCTTCAACTAGGGTATTTGTTCCCCTGACTTGCCAATCTCGCTTTGGCAAGTCCTCCGACCACTGTAACATGGTTCCTGCACAAGCGTGAAAGCCCTTGATCATCGACTTTCGTTCAAAGACCTCTCTTTGAACACTCGGGAACTACTTCCCTAACCTTGATAGCCTTGCCTTATGGCAAGCTTCAAGACCACGCTTCTGCTGCGCCACTCTAATTTCGCGCGTTCCTTGAACCATTTACGCTTGGCCTTTCTAGGTACTAAGCTACCTAGAATCCTCTTTAGGAACTTTGAAAGAACTCTGTCCCTTAGCTTACTAAGGCTTCCCTTTTTGCAAGCTTTCCAATTACCATATAGTCTAACATGGATAATTCCATATTTTAGACTCTCCATGGCATCACGGTTGCTAGCGGCAACACCCTCGAGCCCCCACTTGATTCTCCATTCCCAGCTAGCATAACCAACCTTGGTTATGCCCTTCGATTCCTATGGTTCGGTTCTATCCCCTTACTTCTTGCTTTTGGCTTCACACCTTTCCTTCGGTCATTCTCCTCCGAACTCGAAGGATAGCTTTGCACTTTCTATCATGCCTTAGCAAGTATTCTTAGGGACGAACCTACCCGATAGCCTAGGGAGTGGTTCCTCAATCCAGGTATGCTCACCCTATAATCCCACACACCGGGATTACGTTGTTGCTTACGGGCCTTTGCATGCCCCTTGCTAGCCTTGCCAAAATTCCATTTTTGGCTTTGTCCAATTCGAGTAGACAGTCTTCTCCTATCTCCGCCACCTTGGACATTTGGATAGCACCTACTATCCATCATTCGCTAGGGACTTAGTCCCTTGGGCCTTATCTACTGCCCTCGTGACATCAAACACCACCTCCTGGTGTTCCAGAATGTTCGGGTGTCCCAATGACGGCTTCCTTGACAATGAATATTTCCTTTTATGACATTGACTTACTATATCGCAACATAAGCAACTTATCCCCCGTAAGGGTATCCCCAACTTCTCTATGCCATTAAGAAGGCTTGGGTAGCTACCTTCTACCCGTTTAACCAATTATTTTGCACCTCTTGCTTAGTTGCCTCATAGTTGTCAAGTCCTACAACTCATTGCTGGTGCTTCCACACCTCCATCATTATCTGGGTCACCACACTCTAACTGCATGCTCTGCAGCTTAGGTTATGCCATTCCCATTTCTATTGGGATTCCTTTGGCAAGGGGTCCTCATAAACCCGCCAACATAGCCTCAAGGTATCACACCTTGGCACATTTGGTGTCTCCACACCATCAGCTTCACGAGCCTACCTCTATGACACTTCCTCTTTGTGTCTAGGTCTTTGCTAAGACCAATACCACTCTTTCTCATGCCAACCATCGGTTAGCACTGCACCATAGAGGTCACTCATAACTTTGTGTCAAAGTTGTTTTCTTTTTGGGAACACCTTTCCCACGACTTTAGCATGACACATTTTGCCATTGATGAGATACCCTCTATTCTCATGCTTGGATCCTATGATCCCCCCCCCCCCATCCTTCGTGGGGTACCACACACCTCAGTCCAAATGCTTCCATCAGTCCTTTTAGGACCATTCCTTGACTCTACTTGAGTCATCTAGCAGTTTTGGACTTGGTTAATCCACAGACCCGTAAGGTCCCACTTGTGAGGCACTAGCTCACTGGAATACACTTCCTGCATTCCTGTCCTACTCAGAAGGACTATTTTCACAAGTGTTACTCTGGCACTTGTTTTTGTTCTCTGGGGCAACCTCTACACCTTAGGACCACTTGTCCATGTGATGAGAATACCAACTCATCTCTAAGTACACCCCCCAACTCCTTGGGCTGTTCCAGCATTTATTAAAGGTAGCCCCGGCTACCATTTCAAGGACTTGAGTCCTCTTCCGTATTTGACCTCCCACGGTCATTACTTCTGGTCTCACATTCATGAGCACTAACCTCAACTATATGAGGATAATTTTGTGACTCCCTTATTGCTTTGGAGTCTTTATCTTTCCTGTGATCCCAACTTTAGTTGTTTACCACAACTACATTGGTCATTTACTGAGTCAAATGCTCATCTGGATCACATCCTCAACTCTTTGAGGAAAACCATATACTGTTCCCAAGATCCCAAAGTCGTTCCCTTACTGGCCCCTTTTCTATCCACCACATCGCGCCCAAGTCACGCATGAACTTGAGTGGAGAGCCATGTCCCCTCGGCATGCTACTCCTTAAGGATAAGCCCACTCCTAGGACCTTCCGAAGCCAATATCAATGGTTATATACTTGAGCACCAATAAAAGTCGGACTAAGGAACAGCTCCAATACCAAATTGTAAGCGACTAAATTTTCCATTCTACTTTAGTCACTTAACCACACCTCCGACCACTTGGAGGAGTCTCATTCACAACCTCCATAAGTCCAATTCAGGACTTGGGACTTGCTAGCCCCGAGAATGGCATCCATGCCACTCAACATTTGCACTTGGTCCAAGTGCTCCACGTGTCCGATCCCATGACCGACACTCAAAGGTACCACCGACATGGCAGCCCGTTATGCTAAGGCCATGCCCAATCACCTTCGCCACACTGGTAGTCCAATACCACTTGCATCACAGTCTTGGCTCTCCAAGACTAGGCAAACCATCCGTGAGTGGTCATCTCAGATCCACTCCTTAGCATCCTTAGGATGCCCACCGACAAGGGGAATAGCCTTCCCCAATATCCC